GGGACAGTATGGAACTACTATCTAATGTTAAAACCATGTAATGGGATCAGTCGAATTGGTAATGAGACTATCAAAAAATCTGGTCCTGGTCCCAGACACGGTCACACGGTCAGTCTAGTAAACTCAGTTTATTCAGCAAGTATCTGTTACATTGAATAATATATCTTACTCTCATTGTGAGAGAGCATCTGTCATCAAGTTCTGACTGCCAGAACAGTAGTGTATTGTAAAATGAAAGTGACTTAAGAACTCAGATCATTGCATCTATTATTCAGTGAGTTTATAAGTAGTTATAAAGTATTTAAGATTCTTATAATCTGTGACTATCTTAAATTCAGAGACAGTTCAGAGTTCAGAGTCTCATTCTTCTAAACAGTGTATAATTATGAGAAGTTTCTTATCATAGATCTCATAATTGTATTCAGCAGAACTCAGTTTCTTAAACATGAATATACATGATTATAGAATATCTTCATCATCATATTATAATATCACTTCTTCTATTACATAGTCAGAGAAATCAGCTTCAATAACTATCTCACAATCAGAATTGAATATTATTAGCAGAGAAGTATTAATGAACATCTTCTTCATCTGTATAAATGCAGCTTCAGTGTCTGCTGATCATTGAAATACTGTATCTTTCTTAGTAAGTTCTGTAAGTGATCTCACAATATCTGAGAAGTTTTGTATAAATCACTGATAAAAGTTAGTAAATTCAATGAAGCTTTGTACATCTTTCACAGTGTATAGAATCTCTCATTCAAGAATAGCAGAGATCTTCTCAGAATTCATTCAGATTTTCTTATCAGCTTCTATGATGAAATCTAAGTATTTAGTACTCTTGACTTTAAAATCACACTTATCAATATCAATTAATAGTCTTACTTCTTGTAGTTATTGTAATACTCTTTGCACATACTCTTGATATTTCATTCTGAATTCATCAGTGAAGATGAGAATGTTATCTAGATAAGCAGATACAAATTTATCAAGAAAGTCTCAGAGTGCTCAGTTAATATACTTCTGAAATGTACTGAGAACATTGATCAGTTCAAAGAGTGTAACTACTCATTCAAAGAGATTATATCATGTTCAGAATACTGTAAGTCACTCATCTTCTTCAGTGATATAGATCTTATGAAATACAGTGATGACATCTAACTTTGTAAATTATTAAGCTTGTTCAATACAAGCTAGAGTTTCATTGATAAGAGATAAAGAATAACAGTCTTTCTTTATTAATCTGTTTAATTCTTAATAATTCACATAGAATCAGAGTTCTTTATCTGATTTCTTTGTAAAGAGAATAGAGGCTGCAGCAGAAGAGTTGCTAATATATATAAATTCTTTATTTAACAGATTATTATGTGTCTTTCAAAGAAGAAGAAGTTCATCTCAGAATATATTATAAAGAGAGTATTATAATGATTCAGAATTCTTATCATTCTTTTTCTCTAACTTGATACTGTGATTCACTTCAGAATCTTGTAAGAGAGATATATTTATAATATTATTTTATCAGAAGATATCTAGATATTCATAATAGTATTAAGAGAGTTTTATACAAGAATCTGTTATTATAATACAGAATAACTTTTCTAGAGTCTTTTTAATAATAGTCAGACTGACAGAATAGATTGATATATGATTCTACTGTCAGTGAACTTATCAGTGACTCTATCAGTGATTTTAATAATGACTTCTTTTTCAGAGTATTTTATAAGTATTGACAGAGATCTGTGTAAGATTCATAGTCTTATGAATATCATCTTCATGAATTCTGTCATTATTAGAGAATATCAAGCTTCTGTTTCAAGCATTCAGTAAGATACCTTGTTCAGATAGTTGAATAAGTTCTAATATAAGATTATAATCAAGATTATTAACTTTATATGTGTAGATATCTTCACATTGATGTTCTCTCACATCTATGTTTAGTTTCACTATATAACAGATACAAACATTCTTCAGATCATCAAATTCTGTGAGAAGTTAGAATTTTGATAAAGAAATATACTGAAGATTATAATATCTTATAACTGAAGATTTTATCATTGCATAGTGACATAGATCACTGTCTATTATGACTTTTATATTATATATATTATCAATCACAGTAGATATAAGAATTGTATTCATTATCATTTTCTCTTTAAATCATTGTTATCTGACCTCTTTAAGCTTCTGTTTATGAATTTGAATAGAAGTTAATCTTTTCTCTGTTTCACTGAGATATTCTTATAGTTATCTTCAGAATCTTTCTTCACTGTAATATGATTAACACAGACAGACACTGATTTATCTTTTAAATAAGAAAGCACTGATCTTTCTCTTGATTAAGAAGGTATATAGATTGATTAGTAGTTGAAAGCAATATACTCTGATCAGTTACAGTTGATATATACTTCTTATTAACATTGATCAGTAACTTCTTCAGAAGTGATACTAGAAACTCAGAAGCCTGTTCAGATAGTGAAGATTCTTGCTTATATATAGACATTTGAATCTACTCAATTTATAACATCTGCATCATTGTTATTCTTTAACACAGATATATAAGTTACTAAGATATAACATCTTCTATCACTGTTCTATATACTCTTGAGCTTGATAAGACAGTTATTCAATGTCTGAAGCTGTATGTAGAAGTCTTTATAAGTCTAGTCTTCATCTACACTTATAAGAGTCTGTAAGAGTTTGAAAGTTAATGTTTTCTTAAGTATACTAATCTTCATTCAATTCTCTCAAGATTAATCTCCTACTTCTAGAATTTTAATATTGAAGTCAGGAATAAATGTTGTAAGAGAAGTGTTTCTCTGTCAGATACTCTGTAATTCATCTAATACTTTCTATTATATGATAGTATCTTAGAACAGAATATCAAGATATTGAATAATATTATCAGATATTTGTAATACTGATTCATATACTTTCATTCATGAATGAAACTTCTGTTTCATGTAATTCTTCAATTATTCATTGATATATCAATCTTGATTAATTAGTGAATTAATGACATCTTTATCTATACTCAGTTTCATAAGTATTTTCATTCTTCATGATGAGTAGAGAGTGAGATTAAAAGTATTGAAATATATAAGAGTATCTAAGTATTCTTTCAGTGCTTTTGTATTTAATTCTGTAGATATTGAAATTATCTGAGTTCTTTATTATGATAATTGTTGAATCTCTTTATATTGATGTTATTGAGTTGTATATATATCAGCTATTTATTACTGTTGTAATTTCAATATTACTCAGAGTCAATGTAATATCACTTCTATACTCATGTTTAAGAGTTCTCTCATATTATTATTAGATATGATTATCAATTATTAAATGTGTAATTATATGAATATCTTATATATCTGAGTGTTAGAACTCTCAGATCTTTCACTGATATTCTCTTATAAGATCTTACTCTCTTTATAAGATCTTGTTATAAGGTCAGAGTGACTGATGAGCAAGCTTCTATCTGAGAACTCAGTGTCTGCTTTAACTGATTATTTCTCTTTTCTTATGTATTATTACATGTTCAGATATCTCTCAATAAATAATTGTTTCTAATAAGAAGACAATGAATGTTTTTCTAGTGTAAGAGGCCTACACTGAATAGATCAGTATTATATTGATAGATCTTATATAACAAAGAGAAAAACATTAAAGAAGAAAAGAAAGAGAAAGTGTGAGAATCAGCAATTGAAGTGGATATTTATATGTGTATGTGGTAGTGTATGCGGTGGTGCTTCAGGGTGGAAGGATATACGCGCGTTCGTAGTGGCCGAGGATCGGCGATCGGAACATACACGTTCGTGGCGGCCGAGGATTGGCGATCAGGAATGGGGCGGTAGAGATCTATGAAGTGTACGGAATAGTCTATATGATTGATCGGGCGCAGCCCGCCACACAATCTTATATATGTTGTTCTGAGCAGTCTGAACTGTATGAAAAATAACACTGTTTAAGACTCTGCAAATGAAAAATAAGAGAATTGTGAAAGATAATATAAATTGAAATTCCTGATCTTCAAGCTTCATAAATAAGAGCAGGTTAACTGTAATATTAGAAATATAGTGAATATTCTATAAGTTAATATCACTACTCTCAATCTTTAAGATAACAGTTCTAATCTTCTTAATAAACTCAGTTTTCTCAGTTGCAGAATTGACAGAGTAACCTGTAGAATAGTTGAAGATCATATTGATAGATCTATCTACAAGAACATAATATAGTGGTGGGTCACGTGATCTAGTGAATCGCTAACCGCAACGGCCGTAACGGCCAACAGTTTTCTGTATACACTATTCTTGCGAGATGTTAAAAACTAAGCGGATGGCGTAGTTAGGCATAGCCTATAGTTACGTCCGGTCTTAAATGTGAGCTCACGATTCCAGTAATTGATTTTAACAACTACGCCGTAGGCGGGTCAGCTGCAAGGAAACAGGATTGATTAATGCCGTTAACTCCAAGAACCACGTTGGGATCAAACATTGTTATGGAAAGGGGGGCTAACTATTTTATGCAAACGCTCTAGCATTAGAAGAAATACAACCAACATAACTGATGTGTTCAAGCCTCGAACCCCTTGTTGATGCAATCTTTCAAGAACTGCTCCAGCATTAGCGGCTATAAATATTCAAACAAGGCCTCTACTGACTTTTATTTTGCGAATAAGAGTCTTCCTCTCGTCTCCATGCTTAGTTAGAGATCAATGGGGCTACTAGGATCGTGAAATTTTGAGCAATTTGAAACAAAAAGATCTCTTCCATACACACAATAGTACTCTTGCTAATGTTCTTGATCGAATAGTGACTGGTTTATTTTTTGATTGCTCTTTTGACACACGAAACCAAAATTAGAATTAGATGTAGTCGATGGCAGTATAACACGTGGGGAGCTGAGCCTGACCCTGAGGCTCCAGAAAAGCCAATTTGCAAAGGCTAAAATGAAGTCTTGAAGGGAAGTAGTTTAAAAAACATTGCCTGTTGTCTGAGAACCTTCCTCTTCCTCCTGCTTCTTAATATTGACATTCTTCCAAATGACAATGGAAGCCAGGACCAGCGGCATCATGCAGACACCAGCAATAACCATTTTTCGTTGAACGTCTGCATACGCTCCAACTATAGCGTCCCGTTCGGGTGTGCCATCGAGATAGGATATCTGCAGCTCCAAATCTCTGAAAATTTGAGCGGCCAAGGACTTGCTTTCCTCCGGGAGTCGCTGATATAGCTGGCTGGGAAGAATGTTATTCCACATAGCACCTGCAATTGCGAGACCAACAGAGGCACCGATGGAGCCGAACAGGCCCCAAATTGCGAGCACGACTGCAACTTCCTGGTGACTGACGACTGACATGACGGCAAGCTGGCCGCAGACAGAGAAGAAGCTGGTACCAATACCAACAAGGACTTGAGTGATGGTTACAGGGCCGATATGAGTGTCAGGCTGCCGGAAAGGGATCAGGAGTGCAGTTCCGAGAAGCATAAATGGGACACCTATGTACGCGGCCCATTTGAAGTTTCCGGTATATCGAATCAAGCTACAACAAAGAGATAAGTAGCTTCCTGGCAGGGTAAACTCATGGTTGCGTGTCGTAGGAAGTACTCACAAGCCAATCCACGGCGCTAAGATAGCGGACGAGAGCGAGAACGAGTTGAGAACGTAGCCAGCAGTAGTGATGCTTAGCCTATGGACAACGATAAGGTAAGAGTTGAAATAGGCATTCCAACAACTAAATGGAGTGTTTAGCGTTCAATTATTAGAACTGTCAACTGGAATTTCTGATATTAATTATGAAGACGTTAGGGGAGACTAACAAAGCTGACGCGAACATAACACCGTATAGCAAGCAGGAGCCAACGATAGTAGGTTGCTTGAGATAGTGGAAGGGAAGAAATTGCACAGGGGCAAGAAATCTTTCCCAGCAGACGAATAGGGCCAAGCAGACAACCCCAACGACCTCCATGGCAATGATATACCCAGTCGCCCAACCTTTTGGGGCATAAACCACAATACTAAAAGGGAGGAGAATCAAGGCGAACGCAGCCGTAATAAGGACAATCCCCACGACTAGATATAATCCTCTGATCAGACTTCGACATGGCTGAAATAGCGTTAGGGACGAGGACATGCAAAAGAAATAGAAACATACCATCAAACTGAACGAAATGATATTTGATCGATTCCCACAGGGTGCGGCCAGATTTTTCTTTATTAAGAAACCCCGCCTTTACGGATTTTCGCTCCATGAATATCATGATAACTACGACTGGAAGGCTGACTCCAACAATCATAATAGAAAAGGCTCCAAAAGCCCACCGGAAGTTCAGGTTGGTATAAAACAGGTCGGCGATCTTGGGACCAGCAAATGTACTCGCGATAGTGGGAGTATTGTTAATGCTGAACATAATCATTCGGTTTCTCAGTGTAGTCATATCGGCCAACATGACATCGACACAATAGATCATACCGATGTGCCCAGTCCAATAAAGAGTATGGGCGCCGACATACGCTTCCATGTTTTGGCAAGTTGCCTTCATGATCAAGCCGACAATAACAAGGACAAGCATGAAAAGGTAACCTTCGATGCGGCCCCAGATGTCGACAATCTTGGCCAGCGTGAGTGTTGAACAGCCACTAAGGATTGTGGAGACGATGCTGACACTGGCAAGGAGTCCATGTTTCTCAAACGAAGAGGTGATGAACGGGTTGAGTGCGAATTGAACGGAAGTCAAGAGCATGTCAACAAAAGACACCATATAGAGCCTAATCATCGCGAGAATCAGTCAACACGGTCACACAAGCAGAGGCTACTCGGAAGGGAACAGGCTCACAGGGAGAAGGTGAGCCATAGAGTCTTCTTCGACCAAACAGAAGCGACAGCCCGAACCCGCTCAACACCGGGTTGAAAGTCCGCAGAAGACTTGTCTGAGTCATGTAAAGGATGAACATTTGCCCCAGGAACTCCCTTGACACAATTCTCGTGCGCACTGTTCTTCTCCATGTCGGGGGTTTCTTTTGAGACGGCCACCATGATGATCAAACCTGCGCAAAGAGTAGAAAGACAAAAAAGGTGTAGAGTGCGTCGAATGAATGTGGGAGAGCATTTTTCCTCCAGCACCTGGGTATTATTCTCTGCTATTAAAGCACGAAGAGAGCGGGGACCGCACTGAGACGAAAAAATCGAATATCACCAATCGGAAGATTCAAAGGAGCCAAACTCCCACTAAGGTTGATACCAGGAGAAGAAGCGGGAAGTATTTTGACTACAAAATAGTCTAGAGTTGGGGGAAACCAGTAGAAAAGCTCCGACTCATCAGATAATTCGCGCAGTGGTCATCAGATAAGATGAGGTGGGCCCATCTTATCTGATGGTATTCGCTTATGACAGCGGCTAGGCTCGCCGAAAACGCCAGCGGAACTGAGATTTATTCTCGTATAAGTGGGGGTGTCGGGGACTCGGGGCAGGCAAAAGCCTCTTCCGCGTGGTGGCATGAGCAGGAATTCATTATCCGAGGCACCATTTCATTGAAAATTGAAAATTTATATCTGTAGACAATACTACAGACATTCATCTCAAAAGTTCTTTCTTATATTGTGGTTCGGAAGAACGTGCGACTGCCGGATAATAACGCGGCCGCTTCTGAACATGCTTACGAACATAAAGGGGCCATAGCAGCCACTAATTAATTTAGTATAATGTATATAAGAAGCTGGTGTACACCTGTAATTGTATGCTGACTCACACAACCTTTGAATTATATCTGATAGTATGTCTAAAAACCAGTGAGAAGTGCAGACTTCTTCAGAATGTGATAATTTCATCTACAAAGTAATTCATAGTTATCATGTCAGAGTGGTTCTAAACATCTCAAAAGATAGTGTATAAAGAAGTGATAAGTGAAAGAGCATCTGATTGATACTGCTCTACTTGTTGAAGAAAAACTTCATACTCAGATGTAGACTAGTCACTGAGATAATAAATTTTCATTTAATCTCATTTAATCTGAGCTCATTCATTTCTTAGTATGAATCTCACTGAGACTAGTAGTTAAAAAAATATGTAAAGTGACTATATATCAGATCTTAAAATAGAATCATAACTTGAAAAAAATGAGAAAATGATCTCATTTAATCTTATTTAATTTCATTCTTAGTATAAAGTTACTAGTTTTAAATATTTTAAGGTTTTTTTTAGACTATTTTTAATTTTTTAAAAAGTAACACTTTTTAATAATACTTAAATAAGATTTAAAATCATTTAAAGTAATAAAAATAATTTAAATTGAGAAGTGAAAATTATAATCTTATTTGAAAAATGTAATAAGAGTAGATAGTATGTCTCACTGAGATAGTATAAGACTACTATCTAATGTTAAAACTGTGTAATGAGATGTAAGAAATCCCGCTTCTCACAGATTCTTTACCTCTATTTCTATCTCTTATGTAATCAATAGAGTTAGCAGCTCTTGACTACATACAACTATATAGAATGAAGTTCAGAAATACTATTTATAACTCAGCTTAAATACTATTATATATTTAATCTCTACATTTTATCTTTCTACTGTGAATACTTCTAGTAGTTAACTGTATATATTATATCAAGCTGTAAATACCTGAATAATTATCTATAAGCACTTATTCTTATATTTTAAGCTCAGTGAGTCAGTAATTACTTATTATAACTAAAAGAACTAGAAATTAATATACTTTAACATCTGTGAAGTCTACTATAGATACTCAGAAGCAGTTACTTAAATCATGAATAATCTTTATAAAAAAAGTCTTAGAGAACTTATTAATTATTTACAGATTATTATTCTCTACATTTATAATAGAGAAACTCTCTGAACTTATAAATAAATCAATCTCAGTGAAGAACATTCTTGAGCATTTTCTACAGAATCAAGCTATTTTTCTATAAGAAATACTTACTGTCTGTAAACACTCTTAAACTGAGTCTCTAAATATAATCTTCAGAGATATTTATAAACTGAAAAGAAACTTTCTTAAGCTGTGACTACTTAAGATTACTTACTGAACTACAATCTATAAAAGCTTTTATAAGTTTGTATTTGAAATTGACTCCCTAGTCTGACTATATAATATAAAAGATAAAGAAGCTGTTATTTATATAATAATAGATCTCTACTACACTAAAGTCAAGAACTGGTTGAATTATTTAGAAAATAATTATATAAGATCTCACTAATCTGTTCTCAAGATCTATCTAAAGAATAAGTTGAGAGACTCTGTAAATCAGACAGAGAATATCTAAACTGTAATTATTAATATTAGAAAAAGAGATGAGAAATCTGATAAAGATTACTTACAGTAGATTATAAAAATATAATATGAATTAGAGTCTGTGAAAACAGAACTCTGAAACAAGACCTGAATAATAATATTTATAAAGAGACTGAATAAAGATATACAGAATAAGCTTATTAAGTAAGACTCTAAGTTCTTAACTCTGAATAAACTGATAACTCTTATTTATCACTTACAGATCACTGTAAGAGTCACAGATCTGTAAAGAGTAAATCACTGATCAGCTCTGTAAGAGTTAGAATAATAGAGAACAGATTTACTGAGAAAAGATAATAAGATATAGAGAGATTCATATTTAACTACTAAGTAGAGAGAGAGAGCTTTATAAGCTTCTATAAACAGACTATATAATAGAGAAATTAAGAAAAACAGTCTTTACTTTATCTATTCTAAATCAGAACATCTCTGTACAAACTGTCTGAATAAATCAAAATAGAAATTTAAGAAGTGACAGACAGAGTCAGCAACAGTCTTCTAAAAAGTCTTAAAGCTAATACCTGAATCTGTTACTTCTTCAATGAAAATATATGATTACAGAGAGAGATTACACTGCAGTACTACTATCTTATCAGTATAAGAAGTATTGATAAACTCAGAATCTCAGATCACTGTAGTGTTTCTAAAGCTTATAAAATGAATAAGCTAAGTGATGAAAACTGAGAATCTGCTCTTATAATAAGCAGAGTGTGAGAACTCAGATCTGAGAGCTGAGAGACTTATAAGAGTGATCTTTGAATTACAAGATCTCTCTGAAATCTGGAGAAGATTTATAGAAACTGTGATTATCACAGACATCACAGATAATATATACTTGAAACTTGTATAACTTCAAAGACATAATTCATACATAGCTGTTTATGAGTCAGGTTTATACTTTCAATCAGTGTTAATAGACTTACTTATGAAGATAGAATCAGTTAATACTGCAGAGTTGATTAGAGAAAATAAGTCTATCTATATAATAACTTTATAAATGTCTGAGAACTTTATAATCATGAAAACTGAGCTTCAGATATCAGAGAAATACTGAGATCTTAGATATTCAGCTCAGTAAAGACAGCTGAGCTTTCTTCTCATTATAAGAAGAATCTAATAATAGATTTGATAGAAGAGTAGAAATTCTTCTAAGAATCAATCTATAAGCTCTCTCATTATGAGACAGAGATCTTATAAGTCTATGTAAAGAAGAATCTGAAGAATGACTTTATCTGATCTTCACAGATCTTCACAGAAGCCTCTGTGATATTTATGAAGAAGAAGAATAAAGATTTCAGATTATGTGTAGACTACTGTGACCTGAACTTCAAGATAATAAAGAGTCACTATTTTCTATCTCTGATTGAGAATGAAATCAACTGTCTTACAGAAGCTGTTATATTCATATAACTGAATATAATTAATATATATACACAGCTGTGAATACAGTCTGAGAATAAATGAAAGACTGTCTTTAGAACTGTACTGAGATTATTTAAATATCTAGTGATATCTTTTAGTTTGACTAATATCTCTACAGCATTTCAGTCTTTTATTAATAAAATACTTTGTGTATATCTGAATATCTTTGTGATAATATATCTGTATAATGGAATAATGTACTCTGTGAAGAAGAAAGAACACACTGAGTATATATAAAGTATGTTAAAGATCTTAGATGAGACAGAACTGTATATTAAGCTTATAAAGTGTAACTTCAGTATCTATTGAATTAATTTTCTAGAATATGTAATTATCACAGATAATATTCAGATGAAATCTTCACAGATTGAGACTACTCTATTATAATCAGAGTTAACTAGTATTCATGAGATTCAGATCTTTCTGAACTTTGTGAATTTCTATAGATATACTGAAGAGTGAAAATAAGAAGAAGTCATTCTATAAATAAAGAATGAAAAGATTGTTGAGAAGAAAGAACTGTGTAAGAGACCTACGCCGAATAGATCGGTATTATATTGATAGGTCTTATATAACAAAGAGAAAAACATTAGAGAAGGAAAAGAAAGAGAAAGTGTGAGAATCAGTGATTAAAGTGAATATTTATATTCATATGTGATAATGTATGCAGTGGAGCTTCGGAGCGGAAGAATCTACACATGTTCATGGCAGCTGTGAATCAGTGATTGAGAATGAGCAAGAATCAGAGCATACATGTTCAAGAATGAAGCAGTTGAAATCTGTGAAGTGTAACAGAATAGTCTATATAATTGATCAGGCACAGCTCATCACATTAGTCTCTTCTTTTCAGAAGCAGTTCTCATCAGTCAAGAGCCTCTGTTTCAGATAATATGAAACTCAGAGTTCAGGTCAGATAATTATATCTAACTCATTTTACAAGATATTGTCAGCTGCAGCTGCAGAGTCTCTCATTGAGAATATTCTCAATCTCTGACTCAAGCTCATTATCTTCTTCTATGATGTCTGATGACTGTTAGTTGAAAGTCAGTTGAGAAGAGAATGAGTCAGTGACAGTGTGATAAAGCAAGCTTGTGTGCAAGATATCATGAATTTCTGATAATGTGTTAAAACAGTAGTTGTGACTATCTAGAACTTCTATCACTTTATACTTGATATGATAGTAATTCAGTATATGAGATGAACATGTGATCTGTATATTCTTAAGATTCAATCCTATCAGATCTTCTATCTTATATTGTTCAGTGAAATCTCAGTGAACATTGATTCAATCTTCTTAATTCT